TAGGATTCCCTCTCTCTATTCCTCCCCTACTTTTGCTCGCACACTCTCTCTCAAAATAAATAAATAAACTTAAAAAATAAACATCTTAGGTAACTGTATTAAGACAGACTATATCAAAATGCATTCTGAAGGATAAAGAGGGTCAGATACAATAAGATTCATTTTAAATTTCTTTTTCAAGTTTTCGAGAGAGCGAGCGAGAGAGACAGAGCGAGCACGAGCGCAGGGGTAAGCAAGCAGGGAAGAGGCAGAGAGAGAGAGAGAGAGAGAGAGAGAGAGAGAAAGAGGGTGAGGGAGAGGGAGAGAGAATCCCAAGCAGGCTCCATGCTGTCAGTGCAGACCCCGATGCAGGGCTCAATCTCACAAACCATAAGATCATAACCTGAGCCAAGATCTACAGTCAGATGCTTAACTGACTAAGCCACCCAGGTGTCCCTAATAAGATTCATTTTACCACCAAAAAAAAAAATTATAAATTTGTATGTCCCTCTAAAAGTGGCTCAGAATATTTTAAGCCAAAAAACTGTCATAATCTAAGGAGAAATAAATCCACAATCACATGAGAAGGTATCTATTTGTTAGAAGTTGAAATATCAGGTGATACACACAACTAGAAAGGATATAGAAGATGCAAACAGTACAAAGAAGAAGTTTGATCTAATGCAAGTGAGACTCTAAAGACCACATTCTGTGACCACAAAGCAATTTCGTCAAACTAATGAACTACTAATGAAGTGAACGAGAAATCTATACATTTGGAAATACAAAACACACTTGTTAACAAATCTTGAGTCAAAGAAGCAATCACAAGGGAAGTCAAAAGCATGGAACTGAAGAATAAAAAATATATTAGAAAAGAAATAGGTAGGAGTACAAAGAAAGGAGAAAAAGATGAAACCCAAGCAACATATAATAAAAGGACATAATAACAGAACTAAATTATATAGAAAACTATGGTACAACAGGGGAGGATCAACAAATATTAAATTCAGTCTTTAGAAATATTAATGAAAATGGAAATCTCTGAAAAAAATGGCAAACTTCTGCAAAGACTTTTCAAGAAAACACGATAAACACTATTAGGAATGAAAAAAGAGACATAAATATTGATCCAGTAAAAAGAAAAGATTTTTAATAAAGACACTCTGAACAACTCTAAGTGATGAATTTGAAACTTGAGACGAAGCAGGCAGTCTCCCAAGGAAACACATTTACCAAATGAGACTCAACAACAAAGAGAAAACCTGAAAAGATCTAAAACCCTTCAATAAGTAGGATCAATAGTTACTATTCCCACAAAAGAAGACAAAAAGATAAAACTGTTTAAAGGAATGGATCCCAGCAAATATTCAAGAGGTAAAAATTTAAAAATATTCAAGAAAGAGGTAAAAATTAGTAAAAATTCTAATCTTAGACAAAATTTTGTAGAACAAAAAAATAATACAATAAAATCCAATTTATTCCATCAACTTTTAACTTTCATACCAAACCTAGAGAAGAGTATCCCCGAAAAGGAAAATTATAGTACATTCTAACTTAGGTAAGAAAAATCTAAAATATTAAAAACCTAAACCCTGCAATGTGTTGTGTATGTCCCTGTATGTATTCTATATCATAAATTTACTTTTCAGTAGTTTGAGAACTGTATGTACTCTATATAACTGTTTGCGTTGCAATCCTATGTATTTTACTTTTGCATAAAATAAATATTATTTTTGGAGTGCCTGGGTGGCTCAGTCAGTTAAGCATCCGACTTTGGCTCAGGTCATAATCTTGCGGCTCGTGGGATTGAGCCCCGCATCAGGTTCTGTGCTGGCAGCTCAGAGCCTAGAGCCTGTTTCCGGTTCTATGTCTCCCTCTCTCTCTGCCTGTCCCTCGCTCATGCTCTGTCTCTCTCTGTCTCAAGAATAAACTATAAAAAAAAAATTTTAAATATAAATATTTTTTATTTGAGAGAGAGAGAGAGGGAGAGAGATCACAAGAAGGGAAGGGGCAGAGAGAGTGTGTGAGAGAGAAACCCAAGCAGGCTCCCATGCTCAGTGCAAAGCCCAAGGTGGGACTTGATCCCATGACTGTGAGATCACAATCTGAACCAATATCAAGAGTTGGATGTTTAACCAACTGAGCCACCCAGGCACCCCTAAAAACATTATTTGGAGAAAGGGTCTGGAGGCTTCAGACTGCCAAAGGGGATCATGGCACACACAAAAAAAACATAAGAATCCCTGTACTAAAGAAACTTGTAGAGCTATCCACAAAGAAACAGGTACAATAATGTTGAGAACATCACTATTTGTAATAGCAAAAACTGGTAAAAGGAGGAAGAATGTGGCTCAATAAACTAAAGTGTACTTAACAGGTGGTATTTTCTCAAAGTCACTAAAATGAAGGAACTGAAACTACATGTTTCAACAAGGATAATCTCTCAATCTGGATGCTAGATATGGATCATCACCAGTTCAAGCACTGGCATTTAGAAACAAGTGCCTTATGCCATTCATCTTCCAGCAAAATCATCCAAAATTATACTCTGTCAGGTACAGTTCAAAATACAAATTCCTTAGGAAGCCTTTCCCTAAACCATCTAGTTGAAATTAATTTTCCCTAGTAGTTTCTATCGAACTGTTTAATTACCAGATTTCTAAATTATACATTTTTTCAGTTTTATTGAGATATAATTGATATACAGCACTGTGTAAGTATAAGGTGTACAACATAATGACTTGAGTTACATATAGTATGAAATTATTAGTTAACATACATCATGTCATATTGTGTATTATAGTAAGTGTAGTTTGTGCAACTGATTTCTCTCTGATGACTGGACAGTCCTTTGTTTTCAACAGTTCTCAAAACTATGTTTGTTGAATTTGATTCATTCACCACTGTGAAATAAAACCTGAACATTGGCTTAAAAGCTGTGTTTCTATCTTTATTTTTTTTTTTTAATAGTTTATTGTCAAATTAGTTTCTACATAACACTCAGTGCTCATCCCCAAAGTGCCCTCCTTCATGCCCATCCCCCCCACCCCCCCACATCCATCAGTCCTCAGTTTTTGTCAGCATTCAAGAGTCTCTCATGGTTTGCCTCTCTCCCTTTCCCCCACCATTTCCGCCCTTCTTCTCCCCCTTGGTCCTCCGTCAAGTTCCTCCTAATCCTCCTATACGTGCACACATATGATATTTGTCCTTCTCTGCCTGACTTATTTCGCTCAGCATAACACCCTCAAGGTCCATCCATGTGGCTACACATGGCCAGATTTCATTGTTTCTCATTGCCATGTAGTATTCCATGGTATAGATAAACCACATCTTCTGGATCCATTCATCTGCTGATGGACACTTAGGCTCTTTCCATGTTTTAGCTATTGTGGAGAGTGCTGCTATGAACATTGGGGTACATGTGCTCCTATGCCTCAGCATTTCTGTATCCCTTGGGTAAATTCCTAGCAGTGCTATTGCTGGGTCATAAGGGAGTTCTATTGTTAGTTTCCTGAGGAACCTCCACACTGTTTTCCAGAGGGGCTGTACCAGTTTACATTCCCACCAACAGTGCAGGAGGGTGCCCGTTTCTCCACATCCTCGCCAGCATCTAGAGTTCTCTGATTTGCTCATTTTAGCCACTCTGACTGGCGTGAGGTGGTATCTCAGTGTGGTTTTGATTTGTATTTCCCTGATGAGGAGGGATGATGAGCATCGTTTCATGTGTCTGTTGGCCATCTGGAAGTCCTCTTTGGAGAAGTGTCTGTTCATGTCTTCTGCCCATTTCTTCACTGGGTTGTTTGTTTTTCGGGCGTGGAGTTTGGTGAGTTCCTTATAGATTCTGGATATTAACCCTTTATCTGATATGTCATTTGCAACTATCTTTTCCCATTCCGTTGGTTGCCTATTAATTTTCTGGGTTGTTTCCTTTGCTGTGCAGAAGCTTTTAATCTTGATGAGGTCCCAACAGTTTATTTTTGCTCTCGATTCCCTTGCTTTTGGGGATGTGTCAAGTAAGAAGTTGCTACGGTGGAGGTCAAGGAGGTTGTTTCCTGAAAAGCTGTGTTTCTATCTTTAATGTGTACACTGAGATAAAATCTGTTATAAAATAAAACTTCCCATTATAAAAACAAGATCTCTACTTTTTATAATCTGTTATTTTCAATTACAATGAAAAATATAAGAAAATAATGTTGAACAACATAAAACAAGATCTATTTAAAGGATTTACCAATTCATGTTATTATATTCAAGTTGGGATGATCATTTTGCACTTATGTATACAGATTGATAACTATGAGTTAACTATGCCCCCTACTGACTATTTTGAAAACCAAATAACATTTCAGAGAATCCAGAATGTGGTCCACACAAATGTACCATATAAAAACCAAATGTATATTTTATAATGCAAATGGGATCATTAAAAAGGATTGTGCAGATGCTAAGTATATTTAAAACAGAACTTATTACAGAAAGAAGAGACCTGAAAAAAGTATAATTTTGGAATTAACTGCTCAGAGTTACCACAGTACATATAAGGAAGCATTATTCACATTATATTCTATAACAATTGCTCTCAATCAGGGGCAATTCTACTCCCAGAAGACATTTGACAATGTGTGGAGAAGCTTAGTCAAAATCTGAGGTGGGTGCTACAGTGCTACTGGGATCTGGTAGGTAGAAGACAGGGATACAGCTAAACATCCGACAATGCACAGGCCTGTTCCCACAATAAAGAATTACCTGGTTCAAGATGTTTAATAGAGTCAAGGTTGAGAAATTTTGCTCTACATGAATATTTCCTCTCAAGCTGTACAAAAAGGCAAGAAAGTTAATAACATATAGTTTTATGATTTGCTTAAACTTTTCTGAATAGGTCAAAGAAGACATTAAATCTCTGATATCAAAGACTGCAATTTTTAGCCCCTTCCATTTGGGCTAGGAAATTACAGTCTAGACTTTTAGCTCTATTCTTCTGGCTCTATTCAAGGGATGATAGGGGATTCCAATCTTACCTGTGTTTCCATTTCCATCATCCTTTGTTTTATTTCTCTTATTTCTGCCTGAGTTTCAGCTTCTCTAAGTCGAATGGTCATTAATTCATCTTGTAACTCATTCACAGCATTTTTCTTAGGTGGGTCTTTCCACCTCCCGGTAGTACGAGCTAAGTGGCGCTGAAAGACAAAAAATTAGTTTTCAACACATATTCCTAGTATCAAAATAAGAGCTAACTTTGCTGAGCACTTACTTCATGCCCAGTACTATATTAAGCCCTATGTATACATCATTTTATTTAATCCCCAGAAAACCTTAAAAGTTGGGCACTATTACCTCCATTATACAGGTCAGAAAACAGAAATGGCAATTAAGTAACTTCAGAAAGGTCACATTGCCAATAACTGGTAGATCTGGAATGCAAGCTCAGATATAGTTCAAATCTGTTTATACTGTGGATTGATTATTGTAAAAAAGATAATTTTCACCCTCATTTTTTTATAAGAGAGATTTCCACATTGTTAGTTAAATGCCAAGCAAAGGAAAAATGGGGCCATTCATGAATTATGGAGGTAATATTAGGAGTGTTCTCAAAATTTCATGGTAAAGGATCAGTTTTGTTGTTCTTAATTTCCAGTTTATTGCTGCCTGACACATTTACCAAAAAAAAAAAAAAAAAAAAAAAAAAAAAAGCTGTGGTAATGTCAAAGACTAATTTCAGTCCTTGCTTGAGGTAGCCCCATCCCAAATTCAAACCAAAGTTACCACTCCAAAATGATATGTACTGCTTTTTCTTTCTGTTCTCCCTCTGTCTTCTAGATTCTTTAAAAAAAATTTTTAAATGTTTCTTTATTTTTGAGAGAGACAGAGACAGAGAACGAGCAGGGGAGGGGCAGAGAGAGAGAGGGAGATACAGAATCCGAAGCAGGCTCCAGGCTCTGAGCTGTCGGCACAGAGCCCAATGCGAGGTTCGAATTCACACACCAGGAGATCATGACCTGAGCTAAAGTTGGATGCTTAACTGACTGAGCCACCACAGAATCTTCTAGATTGTTTTTTTGTTCCTTGTCAAGAGTTTCCCTCATATGTGAATAAATTTGAGGGCATATAAATGTCTGATTTATTTTGTGAGATAACCAATTTTCAAAAGAGGTTACAAATGTATAGACAAATTTATATTGGTATCACTCTTCTGCTGTTTCATACTGACCAATGTATTAGCATCAACAGAAGAAATATGTGCTGTATGCGCTATATAAAGAAAATTTTCTTTTAGTTCTTTAGAAGAAGTTATATAAATCGCAATGATACAATAACAGTGTGACTTGATTTCTATTTTCTTTTATTTAATTATGAGAATTAAAAAGGGAGAAACAGTTTGAAAGTACTTTCAACTTACAAATGCTCTCAGATTTTTACATTCCAAGAGTCTTTCTCACCTTAAACTCAAATCCTAGTGTTGATCATCAGCTACTTCAGACTCATTCAAATTAGATACTCAGGTTTTTACCCACTTTATAAAAAGCATGCAAAAATATATTGATTAACCTGCCAGTGTTCCTCTAAATCCTTGACTTGTTGTCTAAGTTCCTTCAAACCCATAATAGCTTCTGCTTCTCTCAGTTTCACAGCAATGAGCTCTTCCTGAAGCCTTGCAATGTTATTCTCATCAGGAAAGGAGTTGTTTCTCTAAAGCCAGAGAAAAAAATTTTGGGATAATTTTTAATTTAAAAAATTAAATAATACATATATAATATGTAACTGTACTTCATTTTATAGTTTTATTGAGATATAAATCACAAACCATAAAACTTACCCTTTTAATGTACACTAGTCAGTGGTTTTAAGAGTATTCACAGGATTGTACAACCATCATCACAATCTAATTTCAGAACATTCTAATCACTCCAAAAAGAAACCCTCTAACCATTAGCAGTCACTACACATTTCCCCTCCCTCAACCCCTGTCAACCACTAGTCTACTTTCTGTCTCTATAGATTTGTCTATTCTGGACAGTTCATATACATGGAATCACACAGTATGTGGCCTTTTATGGTTGGCTTCTTTCACTTATGTTTTCAAGGTTCATCCCTTTTTATTCACAAATAACATTGCTTGTGTATATATTCTACATTTTATCTATCCATTTATCAGTTTACAGACATTTGGGTTGTTTCCACTTTTTGGCTATTATGAAAATGCTGCCATGAATATTAGCATAGAAGTGTTTGTATGGACTTGGTTTTTAATTCTCTTGAATTTTATATTAAGGAGAACTGCTGGAGCAGAAGCTAATTTTACACTTTTTAAGAAACTGTCAAGCTTTTCCAAAGCCAATGCAGTGTTTTACATTCCCCTGGGGAATGTATGAGGGCAATTGTACTTAATTTTGAGGACAGAAAAAATCTAACTCTGCTTTGTTTATTAGTAAAACATTAACAGGGTTTTGAAGCAACATGAGTAAAACTGTTTTTCAACATGGCAATAAGCTGAACAAAGCATGAACAACATTTACATTTTAAAGATTTATGGAAGAGTCCAGAATCTTTTTGTTGTATTTTTTCAGCATGTTACTTTAGAATGGAGTATAAAATCTTTGTACATTATTTATATCAGGATTAAGAAATTAATACCAAGGTGATCTAAATATTTGCTTCAAGAGTACAAGATTTAGACAAGATATCTTACCAGACTGACACACCCACCTTAGGATAGAGGGTAGCCCCTATTACACTCCTTTAGGCCATGACCAAGAGACCTGAATTAGGCCCTAGTAAAAGCTCCTTAGGTGAACTGAAGTACTACTAAGATTTCAAGTCCTGAATCTATGAAATTTTGTATCTAAAATATTTCATGGTAGGATGAAGATTTTAGCCCATAGAGATAATAAAGGTATTCTTGTCAACTACACATTTTTTATGATGGACTATAAATATCTTCTCAATCAAAAACCAGAAATTTACTATATATGCATAAAAAGAGAATCCTGCACAAAGAAATTAATCATAGGAAGTATGAAGCCTTCTAATTTCCTTTCTACTCTATAACATAAATACCAACAAAGCTACTTAAGAAATCCACTTTTATTACTTTTTTTCAAAGCTTGTTTTATTTATTTGAGAGAGCATATGTGCACGTGCAAGTGCATGTGAGCAGGACAGAGGCAAAAAGAGGGAGAGAGAAAATCCCAAGCAGTCTCCACGTGGAGTCTGATGCAGGGCTTGATCTCACAACTGTGACATCATGACCTGAGCTGAAATTAAGAATCAGTCAGTCACTCAACCAACTGAACCACCCAGGCACTCCAAAAACTCCATTACTGAATTGGACCTAAGGACATTTCTTCCTTCCAAATATTCAAAACTGAAAGATCCAGATTCTTACCTACATCACAGAACCTAGAGTACTTCTAACTTAGAAACCAAGTATTCTGTTATGCACTTTTAACAGCATTCTTGCTGGGTGTTTTTTTCAACAAATAGAATAAATTCTCTAAAAATAATGTAAAAATAGCAAGTAGATTTCTAGCAAAATTATTCCACTACTGATGGTATTTACACCCTGCTTTAGTTCATTAAGAAACAGGGAACAACTTGAGACTATCTGTCATGTTCATTATTTATGAGGCTTTTTAAACAATGTTTTAAACATATATTTATTTTAAGAGAGAGGTGGGAGTAGGGGGTGGGGAAAGGGCAAAGAGAGATGGAGGCAGAGAATCCCAAGCAGGCTCTGTGTCAGCGGAAAGCCCAATGCAGGGCTCAAACTCACAGTGAGATCCTGACCTGAGCCAAAACCAAGAGTTAGACACTCAACCTATGAGGCTTTGATTCACACAGCTAAATACTATAAAGCTAAAAAGAACACTTAACATAGAGCCCAAGCCATCAATGATTTCACAGAAGACAAAAAAGAGATTCAGAGTTTGTGATCTGGAACAACAGACTCTCAAATCTGAAAGTTACAAGAAACCTAAAAGCATTTCTATTTCTACTAACTTATCTAATCCTTAAAGTTCTTAAGTAACCTTGAAAAGAAGTAAATTAGCTTCTTTAAGTATGCCTTAGGCTAGATCTTCCTACATATCCTGATGTGGCTAGGAAAATGTTAATAGTTACACTCAGATGACATTTCTTCTGAAATGTTTATGTATTGTTCATATCCTACTAGATGAAGATACTATAATATTTGAAGACAACTATTAATATGTACTACCTAAGTTTCTCCAACATTTAGGTATTATTCGTATCAAAATTATCCCACTTACTTTCCTCTTTTTAAAAGTGCTCTAATTTTTTTTTAATCCTTAAAAATGGGACTTTGAGTAGTATGGCAACAACAAAGAATAACTGAGAATCTCATTTTCTTTGTCCTTTCCTCTCTTAGTAACTAGTATGTAAGGTTTCCAATGTATGAAAACACCAAGTCCAATTTAACTGCTCAATTAGTACATCTTATCACATGCCCTAATTTTGGAGTGACAGTATTTATATTGTTCTCACCTTCTCTATATCCAGGACTTTATCCTGCATCTCCTTTAGTGCACACTGAGATTCAGCTTCACTCAGACGGGCTTGGACCAATTCCTTCTCTAGTTGCAGCACAAAATCTTCATTGTAGCTGGAACTGCATTTATGCTACAAGTTATAGACATATAATGAAATTTCACAGAAGTATGAATGTATACATACAATAAAAATAAATGCAATTACACAATACAGTTATTAAGGGCAACCAAATGTAAAAGTTCCATCTACCCTCTACTTTCAGCTTATCTCTTCCAAATAATTTTCCAAGGAATAAAAAAGTCCAGGCTTGGTATATATAAAGATGATCACATTATTTTGTGTTGGTAATTAGTTATTATACTAATCAAATGTAATTCATGGAAGATAAATATCTCATTTGTCCATCCATCCAAATACTAAGAATTTGTTCTGACTCTATAGACATGCCCCATACAATAGGGTAGCCTTTAGCCACATATGGCTACTGAGCACTTGAATGTGGCTAGTCCATACTGAGAAAGGATCTAAGTATAAAATACAAACTGAATTTTAAGACTTAATATGAAATAAAAAGGCAAAATAAACTCATTAATCACTTTATATCGATTAAAGGTTGAAATAATATTTTATATACATTGAGATTAAGAATATTAATTTCATCTGTAATCATTAATTACTCCTTTTAATATGGCATTTTAAAATGCACATGTGGCTCACATTATATTGCTATGGGACAGCACTGTTACATGCTAGAGAAGTACACATTATTAAAAAAAGTACATATTTAATTGAAAATTCTATTTTAATCTAAAAGAAATAAAAATAAGGCATCCATAATAAAGTGAACCATCCTAAATTGCAACAGAATAAAAATGTATTTGCTCTTAGAAATGTAGATCTCTTTAAGGCTATGCATGAAAATCACTGCTGGAAACAGAAAAAGGAGATGCTGCACAAAGAAATTAACCATGGAATCATGAAGCCTTCCATTTCCTTTCTTGCTCTTTAATGTGAATAACAATGCAGCCATTTAAGAAGTACCTTTTTAAACCAGTTTCTATAAAAAGCTGTTTAAAAAAGCAAAAAGACACATAATTCACCATTATGTAAGACTTCCTAAAGAAACTCACTTCCCATTTAATTCACACAGTAAAGAAAACAACTCAAAATTCCAAAAAAGTGTCACAGAGAACCATCTCCTACTGAGCTAGCTTAAGAATAGTTCCTTTCACTCTTCAATACGTTAGGAATGAGACAGATACCAGGTTACAACTTTATTTTAAAACTAGTAAATGCTTAATTAAAACATGATACTTTCCCCAGTTAATCAAAAAGAGATGTCTTAAACTTAATAGTTTATTTATTAAACAAATGAGGACTTTTTAATCAACATATTACACACTGTTTCTTCTAGTAATCTTCTGGTACTATTAAAACAGTATTCTTTGTAAGAGTACATGTGTGGCAGGTATTATCACTTTAGTAAATACTTACCTTACTAAATAGGGTAAAGGCACTCTTTGTAATGACCACATTCGAACTGGAAGTGCCATAATTTTTGTTTAATGATATCGTGGTTATTTTATGAGTAATACTAGAATTTTCCACCTTAATCTAAAGCCCTGACAACTGTAGTTTGGAAATGTTTGCCACATTTTATATTAGGAGATCCCAGGAAAACATCAAACCCAAATGGCCCATGTGAGAATGGAATCAATGATCTGGTATAAACCAAGTGATATAACCAAGCACAAAAAAACTATACTAATATTGGGGACACATTTTTATCAATAAAGTTTACAAAACTTCTAATTGCCCTCTATTGTTCAAGGAATAAATTCTAAATTTCATCGTTACACATTTCTCCTTCCATACTTCCCACTGAGTTGAGGACTGTTTCTCAATACAGCGTAAACTAGCTTTAGTTATCATCCTGTATTGAAACTGTTCCAATCACTAACAACATCAATACCCAGTAACAATATAAAAACTCAATGGAAAGCACTTTTATTCAGCTTTTACCTTCACTAGATAGTCTACCCAATTTAACGGACCACTCTTACAACTTTTTACTTCGATTTTGAGGTGCTACTATTCCACAGTTCTACTGCCTATCTTTTCTGTTGCTTCTGCCAATTCTACTACTTCATACAGGTATGTATGATTATATGTACATGCACATGTGTATGTGTCTATCAGTCCCCACGCTTTCAATATTGTGTGTCTTCTCTCAATCTGTTTTATTTTGTAGATTCATCCCATGTGATTTAATTCACTATCCAATATAGTCTGTATGTATAGCAGTATTAGCTGTTATCTATATGTAGTCTGTATAGGCAGAAGATGAACTCACCAAAGGCAAAAAAATCGATGTAATAGTAAAAAGGGGAAAATAAAAGGAAAGAGAGAAGGTAAGAGAGAATATACGATGGTGAAACTCTAGGGACAATACACACCATAGATACACAGAGTATATAAACCCAAATCTGTATTTTCAGCCCAGATCTTTCTACCAAGCTACAGATCCATATTCACAACTAGCTACTGGTTTTCTCTATCTGGCTGATGTCACATTCAACATGTCATAATTCAACTCCCCATTTTTTTCCTTCTCAGGTATATACTATTCTGCTAAGATCCCACCATCTAACAATTGGCCAAGTCAAAACTTTCCCTCTTCTAGTCAACCTACACCATACTGTTCAGTCACAAACCTTAATTTTTCTTCCAGGTATCTCTTGAATTTGCTTCTTCCTCTCCATCTTCATTGTCATTGTTTTTATTCATGCCCTCATCTCTTTCTCTCAACTACTGCTATATTCTTACATAAATTCCCTCCTAACTATTGTTAGCACTTAGAGTGGGTATTATTCAATATTTTCTGTTTCATACCATAGTAAATTATAATAAACACAGGGCATTTTTACAATTCTACCACCTACACCAAATAAGTGTTTTCTGATCCTACTATTTGGAGCTTGAGGAGTTTTGATTCCATATTGATTAATACAAATATGTTAATGAAACTTATACAAGCATTGATATACTTTAATAAAATATTCAGAATGAAGCTAATATCACTGTTTACTTATTAACTTTCAATATGGCCATTATTCCTGTCCACTTATGTGCATTTTTATTGGACAAAATTTATTTTCATTGGAAACAATTCTTAATATTCATATAGGCTCACTAAACATAGATTCTTCATTTATTGTTACAGCTTAGGGAGTTAGAAAAGGTTCTGGCATTTGATTTGTTTGGTTGGCTCAAATATGGACCAAAAGGTGGCTCACAAAGAATGAAGTGGAAATGCCAGACATGCCTTGGTTTAATGTAGAGGAAGGGAAAACTGGTACAAAGAAACCTGGGGAAGATATAGGCAGACTTCTTTGAATGGACTAAAAAATAAAGACATTTGTGTCCCCTGTGAATGCTCACCAAAGGGTGACCTCAGCAGAGAATTTTAAAAATCAATTGGATAAGATGACCCATTCTGTGGTTACCAGCCAGGCTCTTTCCCCAGCCACCCATCATTGTCCAAAATGCTTATGAACATAGCAGCCATGGTGGGAAGGATGGAGGTTATACATCTCAGCAATACAAACTTCCATTCACCAAGGTTATGGCCAATGAGGAGAGTCCAATCTGGCAGAAGCAAAAACCAACCCTGAGCCCCTGATATGACACCATTCCCTGGGGTAACTAGCCAGCTACCTGGTGGCAGGCAGCTACTTACACTGGACTGTTTTCCTCATGGAAGGGGCAGCATTTTGTCCTTACTGGAACACTTACTCTAGATATGAATTTGCCTTCCCTGCACACAATGCTTTTGTCAAAACTACCATCTATGGACTTAACAGAATTTCTTGTCCATCATCATAGCATTCCACAAAGCACTGCTTCTGAACAAGGAATTCACCTGACAGCAAAAGAAGTACAACAATGGGCACGCACTCATGGAATTCACTAGTCTCAACATGTTTTTAATATTCTGAAGCAGCTGGGTTGACAAAACCAGCTGACCTTTTGAAGACTAAATGGCAGTGCCACCTAAATGGCAGTGCCACCTAAATGGCAGTATCTTGCAGGGGTGGGGCAAGTTCTCCGGAATGATGAATGTGTTCTGAATCAGTGTCCAATATGTGGTGCTTTTTCTTCCACAATCAGGATTCACAAACCCAGGAATCAAGAAGTGGAAATAAATATGTCTGGAACACAGAAAGTCCTTTAGAGTGTCTCTTAGTATTATCATACTCTGTGATTAAGGTCAATGAAAAATCAGGAAGGATTACTAATGGCCCAGACCTTTTAGGAATGATGGTCTGGGTTACCTTACCAGGCAAAGAATCATGACCAACTGAAGTGCTTGTTGAAAGTGAAGGTAATACAGAGTGGGTAACAGAAGAAGTTATAAATATTAGCTATTACCACATGACAGAAATGAGAACGGTTATTATCAACAGTATTTCCTTCTAATTTTGCTATATGTGTGTTTCCTTTCTTCTTTTATTTCCTTATATAAGATGCAGTGACTTTACATCAAAGTATTTATTGTTAATTTACATCATAGTATTTTAAGTTATAGGATATCAAGAAGAGAAAACATTACTGACTTTAATTTCTTTTCAGGGGAAGGCATTAGTGCATTTTCAGTTGTGCACAGGATAACTGTATCATGTTAGGCAGAATTATGACTTTGTTGTTGTCTTTATGTGAAGACTAAGTATGGTTTAAGGAGATGCACATAGTTGCAAAGTTGACAAGGGTTGGACTTATGATGGTTAATTTTATGTGACTAGGCCACGGGGTCCAGATTAAAACATTACTTCTGGATGTATCTGAGGGTACTTCCAGATGACTTAGAAGACTGCCCTCCCACCCTCCTACACTGTTGGTGGGAATGTAAACTGGTACAGCCCCTCTGGAAAACAGCGTGGAGGTTCCTCAGGAAACTAACAATAGAACTCCCCTATGACCCAGCGATAGCACTGCCAGGAATTTACCCAAGGGATACAGAAATGCTGAGGCATAGGAGCACATGGACCCCAATGTTCATAGCAGCACTCTCCACAATAGCTAAAACATGGAAAGAGCCTAAGTGTCCATCACCAGATGAATGGATCAAG